ATACCCCCAGCAAATACTTCCAACATATTAGATGATATCTCTTTTTCGGACATAGTTCGAAGGGAGCCTTCAACCTCGACACTCATCCCTCTTGGTGTATTTGCGGTAATTAAAAGGGTCAACACGTTAGAACGCAATGTCATGTCCTCTGGTGTCTTTTCGATTTCAGATTTACGATCTCTGATTATTCCAAAAAGATATTCGTCCAACCATTCTTTATTTTTCTTATATTTTTCATTGTAATTATATAATATTGGTACGTAATTCCTGAGGAATGGAGGTAGTAGAACAAAGAATTTCATTGAATATTCCCAGGTAAGTAAATGGTTTAAAAATTCTTCAGTTTCAGCTGGTTCAGATTTACTATTACTCTTTTTCGCGATCTGTTGATAATACGCTAAAGAGGCAGTTGCTTTTCTTCCAGTGGTCATGGCTGTCGTAGAATCTGTAAAGAATCTGGTCATCCACTGTGGAAAATCCAATTCTTTATCGTGACCATGTTTAGCCCAATATGATTCGATTTCTGCGAATCTGGTAGTTGTTTCTTCCAATGCTTCTTTCAGAAAATTCTTGGACATCAGTGATTGTGTTAAGAATTTACGATTAAACTTCCAAGTATGCAGATTACAATTCAATACTAGTCCTTTATCAGCCATATCTAGTTCAGCGAGTCCTCCGTGAGAATCTGGTTGATGGATGAAATAATTACTTTTTGTCGAAGAGGTATATATTTTCTCCACAAGGTCAGCACGGCCCAGCCAAATGTGACGTTGTGGTCCCAAGTAAACTTCAAACATGTCTCCGTATTTTTCCTGCAACGTGTCTGCCCATAGGGCGAAATCAGAATTTGCCTGAAGCAAATTGCCGAGTAATGGAATTGGTAACGGACCAGGCAGAGGGTTCGCGCGAGTAAAATATTTGAAGTAATACCACGCTACATAGGTGGCAAAAAATACAGCGGAAACCCTAAGCCAATCCGAGGTTAAAAAAGAAAGTAGTAGAGACACTAAAGCCATCTTTTACTAATTATATATTATATTATATTATCTTTAGAGAATGACACTTTTATTTCTTCAAACTTTCAGAATCTGGTGCATATTTATATAAATTCCTCTTCGAAACTATATTGTATTGATAAAATATTGTTCTCGCTTCTATATATTTCTTTCGCGCACAATACTCTATTAAAACTTTATTACATTAATTAAATTGCGCATCCAATAAAAAGGCTTTTAACCTTCGCATTATTTAAGATGCGATTCTTTACCATTTCCTTCCTTCAAGAATTTTATTTTTAATAACAACCCTAACGGCAACAATATTAATTTATGATAGGCATCGTATTGTGTAAATAACACTATTGTCCACGGTTATGGAATCATTATATTTGGTTAATTGATCTACAGCTGTACAAAAAAAAAAAGACAATACAAAATTTTGCTAATAATATTAAAATGCCAAGTATGATTTTTCGGTTCATACTTTTTTTAAACAATACATGTATAATGCAATTACAATTACAGGATAAAAATAATTCACACATAAATATACTTAATTTATATGCTACATGTGACTTTATGGAAAATTGTTACACTTTGTGAAATTTTATAAATACAATTCTTACATTTTATTATATAAACGTAATATATGCTTATTTAAAAATAATATTCAAAATTTTTTATTAAAGTATTTAAATTTTTAGATATGATTTTCTTTAAAATATCATATATTAATTGTTATTATTTGTAAAAAAATTATAATAAAATAAATTGAATACTATTATTATTTATTTCTAATTAAACTGCTATTTGAAAATATTTATTCTAAATATAATCATATGGGTAATTATTTTTGAAGGTGACAAAAATGCTAGATATGATTTTTTCGGACCCAGCTTTTAAACAATAAATATGTAATATAAATTTTAGGATCACATCAGAAAATTTCTGGTCCACTTTCGAAAATAGTTACCTATTTAATAAAAATGATATTAGATTTTGAATACATTTGAAGTAATTATATTTATATTGAATAAAAGAATTAATAAATATTATAGATAGGTTAATAATAATTTCTTTTTGAATAATATTAAGATATAAAGTTTTATAAAGATAATATAACTTTTTTTAAATCTGAATAAGTTAACAGTATTAAATAATTTGCTTAAGTTCTATTTAATATTAATAAGAAGTAAAATATTAACTGTATTATAATATAATTTTCAAATTGAGTTGTATAATTAATTTAAAAATTCTATTGCTGCTTTAATCCAATTAATAAAATCTGTTATAAAGAAATTTGTTAATTATATTATATAACAATTTTATTACTTGCTATATATAGAAAACTGATTTAAAGTTATTATTTAAATAAAGAATTTAATTAATATTATTTATAATTTAATTAATTTCTTTTAAAGCTTTAGAACAATTAAAAACATATTAAATATCTTTAATATAAATTTTATATCTTAAACAATATACAGTATATCTAAATATTAATCTAAATAATATTAGTAAAGTATTTGGTGAGTTAAAAGAATTTTCTTTTTTTTTTTTTTGAGTAAGTAAACACCATTTCTTTATTTATTCGTATATTACAAGGTATACATTTAGAAAGAAACAATATCTCTCACGTGCGATTGGCAGTGAGTTTAATGCTAACCTGCCTATAGTAATCACTTAACTTCTATTAGAAAAGACATTTTAAAACTAGTATACTAATCAAATAATGTTGATTAGCTATGTATGTCTACTCAGAATTATTGAAGAAAAAAATAAAATTAACTAAAACTAAAATGAAATCAAATAAACTGTAAGATCTATGAGAAAAAAAATTATATTTCCAAGAGAACTCCTGGTCAGGCTCGTTGTTCTATCTCTCTGGTTCCTTTCGACTTGTAGATATAATTTTTGTTGATATGGATGATAAAGTATATATGACTTGGTTTATCGTTATAGTTGCTGTTATTGTTGTGTTAGTGTAATTGGTGATTGGTAAAACAAATAACTTGCTATTAATATTTAAAATATATATATATAATTTCATTAAAAGTGATTTAATATTTATAAAAATAAATAAATAAATAGTATATATGTATATAAATAGTGTATACAAACAATAACATAAATAAAATATTTTTTAAAAAAAATTCTATTATTTATTTATTTATTTATTTTTTAAATAATATAAGAATAACTTATTAAATTACAAACTTTAGTAATAATTCATACTATACATGCGTTATTATAAATAATGTTAGGTTATGTACAGTAATATTTATGTAGGGTAAATGTATATACGAAAGTAACTCGTTTGCGGAATAATGTTTTTATTTTTCAGATAAACATTCATCGACAATATATCATATCATCATGCCCGATTAAAAAAATCATGCTGAAAAATGCATTTCGGAATTTCATTAATGAAATCCTTAGGAAAACATAATCGCGTACTAGGATGAATAATTTATAAAAGAAGCGCCAAGCATTTTTGCATTTCCTGGTTGCAAGTTTATAAAATTTTTGCCATATTTGGACATCAGTTGCTTGTGATTCGAACTTAAATATCAATCAAATCCGCACTCAGCATTTGTCTTACCAAATTCAAGCAGACCTCAGCCCAACACTTGCCCACAATTACAGAAATTTCTACTTTCTTTGTTTAAAAAAAAAAATTTTTTTTTTTTTCAACTCTTACCCACACCATAACTTTTGACTTTCACCAGAGTTGTTTGCATTTATTACCAGAGTTGAAAAAAGAAATAAAGCCACTGCAAAAGTTGTTGTATCTACCTAAACAGAAAAAACCTTTTAACTCGCGTCTTATTTAGTCAGTTTTGAACCTTTATTTTGATAATACCTTTATACTTTCATAAAAAAAAAGAAAACCTTTATTATATTGCCCGGTAAGCCTCCTATTGAATTTCGGAATTTTGAATTTGCATGACATTACTTCGTGACGTCTCTCTCTTTTTTTAAATTTATACTGAATTTTTATTTTCCAATTAGAAACTTATTATACAAATTTACGGTAGCGCTTTTTCCTTACGTATCCATTGCACCTCTCCAAAACCTTACGAATTTTGCCAACGAAAATTTAAGAAATGCCCAGTGACACGCGCCCCACACAATTTGGAGCACAGACCGACCATCTCATTGACCCCGAATTGTTGCGACAGTTGAATGCCAA